GAGTCGTAAGAGCGCTTATAACCTGGTGAAAATTGAAAATCAGAGTCTTAGGCGGAGTCATAAGCTCAATGGAATCAGAATCGGCACCATCGCTTGTGATCCAGTGAAAACTAGATTGTCGGAGTTGGAAGCAGAAGCGGAAGAACCAACCAATCACAAGGCCCAGAATAGAGCATTGTGATTGGCTTATTCTTCCACTTCTGCTTGCAACTCTGACAATGCAGTTGTCACTAAATCGTAAGCAACAGAGTATAAGTGGAAGGGGTGTTCTGCTTCTGACTCTACGTTTCTGATTACGACTCCGTCGCTAGTGAAAACCAGCCTTAGGTAGTATGTGTATATAGTACTGCTGTGAATGAACATTTTATTTTAGATTGCCCACAATCTAAATGCAATTCCACCTTAGTAACAACAGCAACAACAATAGCTTATATACACTCCCCTGATGGGGCTTTTCAGTGACAATACAAGAGAGCTAAATTAATTACGTTAAAGAAGTGGTTTACAATTCAATTAAAAGGGAAAGAATACAATAAACATTGAACAATAATCATACAACATACAATTCATCATACAACAAATACAGACTTAATTTTGATCCAAGCTTAGAGTGTAAAACCACCATTTGTCTGTTTCTTAAGTTGCTAAAAGAAAAAGTCAAACTGAAAAACGAACAATATCATACTCTAATGGACAAGAAGTAAAATTTAAGCATGTATGGAAAGTATTCCTGTCATCTAAGTTAATGTAGGTGTTGCCTTAGTTTAGTATGTATCTCTGCATTCAGTTTTTAAGTCCTTTAAGTCCTCTTCATCAAAAAAAAGTTCACTGACCCAGTTTGCTGTATTCTACTCTGTTGTGTGTGTCAGTTTGGGGCTGACACTGGCTTTGTACAGTTCATGGCATCTGACCATCTTATTTGACCTTATTTCACAATGTGCAGTTCCAGAAAGTATTTTCTTATCCCATTGAAAATCATGGGGGTCTCCAAAGGCAAAGCAATGTGTCTAAATGTAATTTATGCTAAGTTAACCGTGAAACAAGATTGCTGGCCTGCAGTCTCCCTCTGAGTGAGTTTGGGGTGACTGGGGGATTTGTGCAGGGACACCGGGATTTTACAGCTTGGCTTCAGATGTCAACTCATTCCGCATGTTTTTCCCTGCTGGACAGTGCTCTTTAAGCTTTTCTCCCAGCCCACCTGCCCCTCTTTGGCTTGAGGGTAAGTATCCTGTGTTTCCACTGTTTCTTCAGTGTGACTGTGCCTGGTGGTTCCCACTCACAGGGTTGTCATGGATACCTTACGCGCTTGGTTTAGTTTACTCTCGGGCCCCACCATCCTTTCAGGCACCATTCCCCAAGTTCATTGTTTGTCGATGAGTTTAATATGGTTTTACTGAAAGGTGGGGGTATGTAAAATCAAATGCCCTTCTGTGAAGTGTATGGATATTTGTTTGCAGCACAATGCACGAGAAATGCACATGCATTTTGCCACATCCCCTTCTTAAGGACTTTTAAAAATGCAACTAAATTTGCTTGCAATCAGCCACAAAGCAAACAACTTCCTCACAGAGCAAATCTTTAAACTTAAAACTGAATGTAATAGGCCATTTCAAAGCTACCTTGTACCTCTCTTTCAAAATGAGTCTTTGTGCAAAACCTTTCATATGACGAGTTTGATTTTCATGAAAATGAACACGTAGGTGGGACACATTTCTGTATGAATAGCTTCATATGAAGACTCGTTTTGACACAGAGGCAAAAGGCAACTCGGGAGTGGCCTATTGCAAAGCAAAAACAACTAGGCCAAGACCAGATGGAAATTCTACCTCAGCACAGCTATCTGTGAATCATGTAAACCACAGGTACTTGCATGACTTGTGTCACTGCTTTACAAGCAAGGCTTACACTTGTGAGCAAACTGCAGTAAAACTTACAATTCTTGTGTTTAGTGCAAAGAAGACCAGGAAAAGCTTGGGACAACTTAACAAGACTTATTAAGGCTGGTTTTTGCAAGCACTGCCACAAAAGTAACGTAAGTAGCAGATGCAGTAAGATGTTTGTAATAATTATTGGGACCTTGTGTTTCAAAAATCTCCAAACAAAAGGTGCCACTTAACAGCACCTTGCTGTATCTGCAAATTTTGCAAATTTTACATAAAGGAATGATTGGAGCATCAAACAAGATAGAATATCTTGATTGCTCTCACACACGAAACAAGCCAATGATAATAACTTCACTCTTGGAAAGAAATAGCCCAACAACTTCAATGTTCTGCACACCTTTATTGGATGTTTCAAAATTTATACAGAACTCATTTTGCACTGCTCACTGACTCCCGGTGACTTGAGGAAGCACGCTTTTTCTTCAGCATTTCATGACGTTTCTCCTTTGCCTCTTTAGCTCTCTTGGCCAGAAGCCTTGTGTACTCAGCATACTCCTGCTTAGCTTTCTGTGCTCTCATTTTCTTCAGGGCCAAGATTTTGCGCTTGCGCTGCAGCACTAGAGGAGTGACTAGACGCTGGATCTTGGGAGCCTTCGTCTTGGGCTTCTTGCCCTCTTTCTCTGGGAGTGTTCTCCTGATGACATACTGCCGGACATCATCTTCCTTGGACAGGTTAAACATCTTCCTGATCTTGCCAACTCTCTTAGGCCCAAGACGGCGTGGCACAGTGGTGTCTGTCAACCCAGGAATGTCATTGTCACCTTTCTTGATGATGACCAAATTCAGCACACTGAGTTGAGCATCTACAATACAGCCACGCACAGACTTTCGTTTACGTTCACCAGTTCTACGTGGCCTGTAGCAGGAGTGACCCTTGGAGAGCAGAAGACGCACACGGCCATTTGTCATGACTCCTTGCTTCATGGGGAATCCCTGTTTGTCATTTCCTCCAGAGATTCTCACCACATAACCCTGCAATGAAGCAAATTCAATCAGTTAGCACTGTAGTGCTTAGACAAGCAAGATAAGAGACCCATTCTGTTGATACACCTGCAGATGGCATGAAAAGAGGCAACGTCAGACCTGAAATACAGGGTGCAAAGAAACCTGTATCTTGTACTTGTACCCTAATAATGCCAATTAATTTAACTCACCTTCCACTCCTCCCCAAGACATTCAGCACTGCATTCAGCAGAAATACGCTTGTCAAAGAAGTTACGACTGCAAAATAAATATTAGAATGTGTTAATTCAGTTATGATAATATTATCACTCATACGGTGTATCTTTGATTCCTGTATAGCAAATTATGACAAACTGAACTTCTGAATACAGTCGAACCAGTATGTAAAGGCCACCTTCAGGACTCAAGGAACTGCCCACTCAATACAGGTGGACGCTTAATAAATGTCTCAGGATCACCAAAAATACTCACTGGACGTGGTCTAATGTCAAAATTAACAGTGTAAAGAGTGGAGCATATTCAAAATGAAAATGATTTTACGTTCGTGATGTGGTACTGTACTTCATCAAATTACAGACATCTGAAAAACATTAACGATACTTAATGGCTGATTATCAGCTTATGGTGGCTTTATACATGTTATTTCTTTATAGCGATGATGGATTGCATTTTAAACACAATAAAATACCACACAAAATGACATGTGGCATAGTTTTCAAGGGTGGCCACTTAACACAGGTAAAAATAATCAAGAAAGCAGAACATAGGACTACTGCAGAGTGGCTCTGGCTACTTAATAGAAGTGGCCACCTAATACAGGTAACAAGCACAGTGTTTGTATGAGCAAAAAATCAGGACTTTGAAAACTAGCCGCTTGATGTAGGGTTGTTATATACAGGTTCAACTGTATATACAGGCTGGAAATTAAAGATATATTAGATCTGCATAAATTTTGTAGTGCTGTATAGAAACAATAACCTTTGTGGACCCACAAGTATTCTATTGCTCCACAAAGTAAATGAGTTCAATATGTATGAACTACTTTGGCTAGCTGGGTTTTCTTGTGTTGTAATGGGGAAGTAAACTTTTTAGCTGGTTTGGTTGATCACCTTTTTCATCAGCAACAAACTTGGTTGAAGTTTCTTAACAGCAAACTTTTCCAACCATTTTCAAATGAAATGGTTCCTCTATATTCAATGATTAACCCAAACTGAAAACAGTTGATAACAATAGAAAAAGGTCTTAAAATGGGTATCAACTGTTTGAAATGAAAATAGTTGGAAAGTATTCCACCAGGACATGTGTTATGTTGACAGGTCGTGTTTGAACTGGTTGGTCCCAGTGGAGCACCAGCTATCTGAGTAACCAGCCAAGACTGTTAGAACACCCATAAACTGTAAGCCTTGCTGCAAGTGCCTTGCATCAAAGATTATTACCGTGATTTTGAGCACACTGAACATCTGGTAAAGCAATTAATGATTATTCCAACTGGGGCAATGTGCTGAAAAACACTTACAGCTTTTTTTCATCATCAACTTCAATCAGCTTCTGGCACCCACTAGCTGGGTAGGAAATATTGAGCTACAAAACAAGAAATAAAAACACTATGAGACACACAATTTGGTTGACTATCTCACGCATAGCTCAGCAAGATTAAAAAACATCCTAAAGATAAAACAACTACACAAACCATGTAGTTGAGAGCAGCACTGCATCCATCATGTTCAACAAATTATACCAGCTAATAAGTAATTCAAAACCATTTTCGACAAACAATTTCTGTAATGATTTGATTTAGCATGCTGGGTGGCTGTTCTATTTTGAGACATGAAGGAAGGGTGTTCTTTGGAGAAAGATCACTTATCAGGGATATGTGCCAAATTCTTTTGGACTGGACATAAATACCAAAGTGTGTAAAACAAGAGAGATCTTTTGTTTGTAGAAATTGTGCCCTTAGATAGAAATAACAGCCAGGACACATAGGAGAGTAGTGTGGGAACGTTTTGAGATGAAGATAAACCAAAGATGGTCTCAATGTACTCTGATGGCATTGCAATTGAAGAAAATAGCAGGAACCCTTTTATAGGGGCACTTAAAATAGAAGGGGTGCTAATTTGAATGTGGGTGCTTATCAGTTCAAAGGGGGTGCATCTTGGAGGAGGTGCTAAATCGGATCATTGAGATACTGACTTGAATATCACAACAATGATATGTGTAAATACCATGACACTGACAAATTGTTTCACAGTGTAGGTCAACTTTGGATTTGCAATGTATTTTGTTATTTAACGACTTTAACTAAGATTTGTAGAAATCGACGAAGAATTGTACATTAAGTTTACAACTCTTGGCAAAAAATAAATTAAGCTTATCTCCCAAAGCACCGCATAATTTTTATCAGTTGTGGGATAAGAAATTGAGGTCAGTGTTTCATGCAAGGTTCGACATAAGCCTTACTGGGTCAGATCATGACACCAAACTAAAGATACTCTACACAGATCTCTAGTCCAGTTCAAGCCGACTGATAACTGTCCACATGTAACATTCATAACAAACCACAAAACGGGAGAGGTACAACACTGTTCTAGAGTTCGTCCTAGTTTCTTATTTTACAATCCGGGGACATGGTATTTCCTTTGTCATAGTTCGTTATACGAAGACACCTAAGGGAACTGATGTCATCCAGCGATCTCAATACTACGGCCAAATCACGGCTGGCTGCCAGGTGCCATAAATTCAATCCATCCCCAAATTCAATCTAGAAAATCTAGCGTCAAAAAACCCCATCCCTTCTTACACAAGTCATAAATAGAGACAAGGATAATCATTGTTTTCATTTATGTACGCATTTCTATATAATTATGAACCCAATATTATTTATTTTTACCTTCATCGTTCGTCTCCTCTGTAACGAGAAGGGCAAAAGAAGCGACGGAAAGAGAGTGAGCGAGGGGCTTCAGCTGCATTATGGGGACTTAACTCAAGGGACTGGACACCACACATGCGCTATATTGAAGAAGATGGCGGACATTTCGTTGATCGTCATATCGATTCGCGATTTGTTTTTCTGAAGACTTGTAAAAGATGTTACACGAGCTTCTTTTAGCGTTATCTGGATATTCTGGTGGTGCATTTGTGCACAAAGAATTTGCAGGACTTAAGGTGTGTGTTCGCAGCTGAATGTAAGCTTACAACCTTTTGGCGCCAATCTTACAGTAGCTTTGAAATATTTAAGGACGGTGCCTACTAAATACAAAGGTTTTTGCGCCAGGTTAGGGCCTTGCGTAAAAAGTAGATCTTTGCAAGGGCTATCGGAATCCACAAAGAAAAAAAAGAGGGTAGCCACGCATTTTTTCGAGATAATTAGCCTTGAATCTCAACAAAAATGCTGACATCAGCATTTTTCTGAAAATAGAAGGAGGGGATATTTCTTCACAGCTTTCTTTAGA